AGTTAAATCCCTTATCTCAAGGATCTAACTTGTACACTAATGGAAAAATCCTTAGTTATTTTATAAAAGTTTAATTAACAAGTGCAAATTCAAAACTTTTAACAACAAACCATTATCATAAAAAAAAAAAAACCTATCAATAAATTAAACTCTATTTAAATTTTAAACATTTAAAATTTCAGAACCTATTTATGCCTTTAATTGATAATCCAACAGAATCGTTATTAAGCCCCTAGACTTTAATTGATGTACATAAGCCCTTGAACTCTAGGATCAAAGCAATTAAGCCCTTCTTCTTACGCCAACTTAGCTGTCGTTTGGGATTCCGTCACCTGGCTTAACTGCCGTTTGGGGACACACCCGCTTGGCTGCTTGGATGGCAAAATATTGCCATGTCATCCTTATATGACAAGGGATTTGACACTTGAGCAGGAATTTTGAGTTATTTGATCATTTAATTTTTTGATTTAAATAAAGTCTAAATAAAATAAAGTCATATATTTAGGTAAAAATATTATTTAAATAAAATTTTAAATTTAAATTTAATAAATACAGTAATAGATATTAAAAAAAATTTATATGATTCATTGTGATTTAATTTTAAATTTTAAAAGTTTAATATAAAAAATAGTATTACTTAAAATGATAATTTTATAATTATATGGTATATAATATTAAATAAATATGATAACAAAAAAAATATATCAGTTTTAATTTTTAAAATAAATTAAAGTTCCAAATTTAAAGCAAATATCTCATTTTATCTAATTAAAACTCAATTTAAAATTTAAAAGTTTATCTTATTAAATATTAATATTTAGATTTAGAAAGTGATTTCATTATAATATACAATTAATTTTCAAATTTAGATACCAACATTTAATAAGATAAATTTTTAAATTTTGCATTGAAATTTTAGTTTCTAAATAAAAGTTGAGATTCTAAATTTTTTAAAAATCATGATTAATATACACTAATCTTATATAATAAATATTAAATAAATATATATAGTATTATAAATAAATTTTTAAATAAAAATAAATTAAATAACGACGCACTAAATTATAATATCACATAATATTATAAGGAAAAAATACATAAAATTTTCGATTCTAAAAAATAATTGAAATCTTAAACTTAAATTATTTCATTTTATTTAATTAAAATTCAATTTAAAATTTAAAAACTATCTTATTAAATACTAATATTTAAATTTAGAAACTAATTATATTAAAATATATAATGAGTTTCTAAATTTAGATATTAATATTTAATAGAATAAGATTT